AATCCAAGACATATTGTACATTGATCTTGTGTTCTGACACTATACTAAATCTTCCAATTAGTTCCCACATTTTTCTTGCGGTCTTTCTTTGTGTGTGTGTGTGTGTGTGTTTGTGTGTGTGTGTATAGGATCATATGATATGCAAATAGGGACAGTTTTACTTTTCACTTGCCAATTTGTATTGTTTTTAATTCCCTTCCTTGACTTAATTTGCAGGCTATGGCAATTTTTTAATAGTTGTGGTTACAGAGAGTACCCTTGTCTGGTTCCCATTCACAAGGGTAAAGGTTTCTTTCTCTCTCTATTGAGAATAATGTTGGCTGCTTTGTTTATATGACCTTTATTACGTTGAGGAATTTCCCTTCTATTATCATTTTCCTGAGAGTTTTTATAGACATGGGTGTTGGATTTTTGTCAAATACATTTACTGTATCAATTAATATGATCTTGCTGTTCTTTTCCTTTGTTTACTTATGTGATGGATAAGGTTGATTGTTTATGTAATGTTGAACCATCCTTGCATACCTGGTATGGTTAACACTTGGTCATGATTTCTTCTTATTTATTTATTTATTTTTGATATGTTGTTGCAGTCTATTGGCTAGGATTTTGTTCTATCTTTTATTGAAAATTGTGCCTTAAGTCTCCTACTAATATAGTGGAATGATTTATTTTTTCTTTTAAATTCTGTTAAAGTCTGCTTTATGTATTTGGGAGTTCTGTTATTGGGTGTGTATATATTTATTTTGGTAATGTACTCTTGTTCAATTGATCTTTTAACCATTATATAGTGCCCTTTGTCTCTTACAGTTACTTGTCCCTTAAAGTCTATTTTATCAGAAATTAATATTGCCACTTCTGCACTTTTTTGATTGCCATTTGCTTGGTATATCTTTTTCCAGACTTTGGTGGTTTATTATTGTCTTCCCAAGTTTAGAATAGACTACTCTATCTCACTATTATCTTGATTTCTTCACTATCTATTCCCTCTTTTTGGTTTGTAGTTTTCATAATTTACCTATTAATATATTGGGTTCCTTGTTTACAGTCTTGTAAGCTTATTTTACTTTGGATACATTTATAACTGGATTGATTCCTGGGTTATGTCATCATGTGTGTTAATCATCAGTTGTTATCTGTTGTTGGTTCCCTGTCCAAAGGAGTACTTTTAGCATCTTTTGTAAGGTTTGCCTGGTTTTATCAAATTCCCTTAATTTCTTTCTATCTGGAAATGTCCTAATCTCACCATCATATTTGAGGGATAATTTTGCTGGGTGTATAATTCTTCATTGGAGATCTTTTTGTTTCATATATATCATCCTATTGACTTCTTGCCTAATGATTTATGTTGAGAAATCAGTTTAGTCTTATTGTTGACTTTTGTAGGTAACTTTTCTTTTTTCTTGTGCTGCTTTCAGAATTCTTTCCTTGTCTTTGCTTTTGATGAGTTTAATTATGATATGTCTCAGTGATTTTCTTTGGGGTTCTATCCTGGTTTTGAGTTTGTTGAACTTCTTAAATCTATATATTCTCATCTTTCATCATATTAGGGAAATTCTCTTCCAATAAATATATGACAATGTTCTCTGTGGTTTTGTTTGTCTCTTCCTGTTCTGGAATTCCAATTACACATAAAATATTCTTCTTGATGGCATCCCATAAGAATCTTATGCTTTCTTTATTTTATTTTTATATTTTCTTTCTGATGGATCCTTTAACAAATTAATGTTATTTTTCTTCAATAT